TGCTTAAAGAAAATGAAATCCTATCTAAATGTCAGCAAAAAAATGCATATAGTTTTTAACCATAGATTCAACTCTCTGTTGTACTTCCGGAATTTCTGAGATGCTAATGCAGGATTTTGTTCTGGGGATTATGACCATCTGTTCTCCCACAGAATAATGGGCTGAGATTTTCCTGCTTTTATCACTTTCTTCCTTTAGAATTAGGATTATTTACAGCAGGGCACTTGTTTATGCATACATAGATGGTTTGGCCTTTAATGTTTCCTATACTTGAAATTCCTGTTATCACTTCAGGAGATAGTTATTTATTGCTGATTAAATCTGAATATTCCTTGTGAAAAATCGTTGAGGAACACTCCAGCAGAAATGCCGGTTTTCTCCTCCTTCCATCTTTCTCTGTTCCTCTCTGAGATTTATTTTGTTTGATTGATAGTCACCAAAACTGGAGACTGGAGACAGTGTGCAAAGTTAAAAGAATGTAAAAATACAATATAAAAGCACACAGACAAACAGAACACATTGGGGAGAAAAATGCCCCCATCAACTGTCTACTGGTATCAGGATCACAAATCACACTAGTTTCAAAAGGCAGTTTTTCAGAGTTTTTCAATTGGCATTAAGGTCAGGGCCAGGTGAACCTCCAGTCAACAATATTCTAGAGCAGAGGTCCCCAACCTTTAGGGCACCAGGGACTGATTCTGTGGAGAAAGGTTTTTCCACGGACTGGAGAGTGTGTGGTTTGTGTGCTGTCTGCATCTCACAGCTGGGGTTTTGCTTGTTTGTGCAGACCAGTTGCTGGCATGCCACAGACCGGTACTGTCCATGGACTGGGGTTGGGGACCCCTGTTCTAGAGGTCTACCCTCTAGGGTGGCTCCAGGATCTTACAAGATGAGATGCTTCATCTTATAGGAACAGTAGAGATCATTGGGAAAAAAGTCCTATGGTTATTTATGAACTGCCTTTCTTCAATTAGGAGAAAGTCCAGGTAGGGCTTTACAGGTGACAACCAACATCTGCATACGGAATGGCTATCCAGTGGAATTTATTAAGAAGTACAGCAGACCATATGAGCCTTGCAGGAGCCAACACATAGGCACGCCTATGACATGGACAACATTGCGGTATATCAACGGCGTGTCGGAGGCAACAGCGCGGATGTTAGCCCCATATAATATTAGCATTGCCCATAAACCAGACCAAACCCTGCATGCTAAGATAATGCACCCCAAAGAGCCTCTCCCCAACGAAGAAAGATTCTCAGTGATATATAGAATAAAATGTGAGAATTGCCACTGCAATTGCATTGGGGAGACGACTAAACGGCTCAAGACCAGGATTCACGAGCATGAGCTGCCCATCAGAAGGCAGGAACAATGTTCACAAGTATGGGCACATATGGCCAGCTGCAACCATACGTTCGACCTTGCGGGGGCGGAGACCATTGCCACCAAAGGCAGCCGACTACTTAAGGAGGTCTGGCCAATCGACGGACACTTGATCAATCGCCACATAGACCTACTGCCTGCTTATCAGGCATTAAGGGAGTGGGAGGAACAATGTAACAATTTGCAGCGAAGGCAACGAGTGCCAGCCATGCAGGATCGGAATGGCTGGCCTGTGCAACAAAGAACTACAACTGCTGAAAGGAAGGAATCCCCAGTGCATCCTGTGCAAGAACTAAAGAGGGGGGCCAGGGTACAGCCAAAAGAAGGGGTGGCCATAAGACAGGAGGTGTTAGGGAACCAACCCACAGCAACAGGCACTTGGACACGAACCAGGCAGACAAGGAGAGCAACCATAAGGGAGGAAATGATTCCTGAGTTCAAGAACACACAGACTAATGTGGGACAGCTAGAAACAATACAGCCAATTTGGGTGGGCAGACCGGTAACTTGCTCCATGAGCAGAGTGCAAAAACGGCCGGCTTTATAAGCAAGCTCCCCAAACACTCTGACGACATTGGCAGTTAGCCAACGAAAGCTAAGTTAAAACAGTTTTGTTTGTATTTTATCCTGGTGTTCGATTATCTTCTTGAATATGAATATACCCGGAATCCACTATTGAGTATAGGTATTAGACAGCAATACTAAGCAGAGCAAAGCAGAAGTAAAGTAAGAATGGCATGGCTATTGCAATTTGCCAAATAAGTTTTGTGTATTTATTTGATGCCTGAAATGGCCTTTTATTTAAAATAGCCAGAGAACCAAGTACTGTGCTCTGTTTTTGATGTATCCCAAAATGGACCTCTTGGTTAAAGTCTTCCTCCAATATTTGATATTTTTCTTATCAGCAGTTATTGTGTGAATGAAACCAGTAACGAATAAGTAGGCTGGTCCATAACAAAAGTCTGACATCCATAATTACACAAAAGAACATGTGTTTTATAGTTCTCATGAACTCCTCAACTGAGAAGGGGTTTTTTTGTACAACGCTTTTCTAAAGTTATTTTCCTGCTGTGATTATTCTGCTGTCAAAATACATGCATATATACAGACATACACAGTTTTATTGATAATTATTTTTACGATAGTTATTTTTTAATCCGGTTGTATTTTGTATATTGAGAAGGAATGTTTCAGTTTAGAAGTATAGGAATATTTTTAAACCATAAAGTATATTGGCAGGAAATGTTTGTAAGCAGGGGGATGCAAAATGTGTCATAGATGCTTCAGTGGATACTGCAGTGAACCAGGGGGTTGGATTAGATCGCAAAGATACTTTGCAATATTCTATGAAAGGCTGCAGGCTGAAGTCTTCTCCCAGAGCCCCAGCCTTTCTCTGGGCATCTGCATGGTGCAGTAGATATTGATGTGTGTTTGAGAAGAGTGATGCTTCTCAACCCAACTCTTACATATATAATATGATATGGAAATATACTTGTTTACCTATTTTTAAGACCAAACCACACTGGTTTTGAGAGTTTTATTATATTCTCTTTCCATTCATCTCCTGTACTCCACAACCATTATAAGTTCAAGTATGATGGATGTGAAAGTTAAATATTGTTAATTGTTTCCATTCCCTTAAGAAAAAAAAAGAGGCTGTGATCAAGTGGCAAAGCACAAAATAACTAGGACCTGGAGATCAAACTGGTAATTTTAAAAAATCTCATTTTAAAGTATTTAAAGTGGAAGGAAGGGTATTCATGATATGGAAAAGAAAAAAACATTTCCTCTGGCTAAAGCCAAAGCTGCAATTTGTTGCTGCTGACCTTTCTTTTGAAATGTTTTGAGATTTCTCCCATTGTTTTCTCCAGACTGAAAGGAAGAAACCTTTAAGGGCTTAAATAAAATTCAGAGCAAAAGAATCTGATTTTTCTGAGATGCCTTTGTCGAATTACTGTATATTTTGATCATAATGTTTCTCTGTTGGCTAACAAAATAGCAGTACCTCACGAGGGGGGGGGGATGCAGGGAGAAGGTCTTGAACTGAGCAAACCAATAAATTATTAGGATAACCAAACTCTTGACTTCTCACTACACCCTCACCCGTGTTCTAGTACTTAATGCTCATCTTTTTAATACAAGCTACTTATTTTTTGTAATGACTAGCATATTTAGTATTTTTCTTTGAGAACTTAATTTAGGAATGTCTAAACTTTTTAAAAATTATTTTGGCACAGAAGAGCAACAACAGATGAAATAGTGGGACTATCCTGAATGGTTTGGGAACACAACTGCTTTTAAGTTACCACTTATTTATTTTTAATATGCCTATAAGGAATAAGATTTTCTGTTAAACTGACTTGGCTTTGTGCAAAATATCTTGCAATTTTCAAAAGTCCGCTTGCTCAGTTTTGGCAAAGGCAGCATTTCTCTTTAATTAAAGACAAAGTCCCTCTGTTGTTGGTAGCTTTCTCACCTATAATCTCCTATACATTCAGAAGGGCTATAGCTGTATTTTCCTACTCCTCCTTAGGCAAAAGCTGGTCCAACCACCTGTTAGCATTACATCATGGGCTGTGAAACACACAGTTGTACCAAAAGCCCTTAAACAAAGTGGTGCTTCTTACATTGTTTGCACTCAAAGAGCTGATGTCATGCCAAGCTGATGTCATTCTATGTCTTTGTGTCAATGCCATGGCAACCAGGCAGGTGGGGAGTCTCAGCTAAAGTTATTTGGATTGAAGGGAAGAAAGTTTTCACATTTTTACTTTTCAGAATTGGTCTCTCAACTGCAAGAGAACCAATCCTGGATGCCTGCTCAGGCATTAGGGAGGGGAAAAAAAGTTTTGTGTGTATCCCGTCCCTTTAACAATTCGCTTTTTGAGTAATCTCTTTGTGAAGCAGAATTTTATTAGAAGAAAATTGGATTGTGAAATCCAAATGGTTTGATTCAGTAGTTTATCAAATTTATATAGCCACCCATCTCACCAAAAGTGACTTTGGATGGCATACAACAATGAAAATAAAACAACTCTGTAAAAACCTCAGATGTAAAATGTAAAAAAACCCATATTAATAAACACCATAAAAATCAAAGATACAAACACTCTTCTTCTGAATGAAAAAGAAAGCAAAAAAAATATGAAATGGGTATTTGTTTCCATTTCTTGAAACACACGAACCAAAGTTATGCATCCTTTCAATTTTGATTCCAACTTTGGTACTGGATTCAACGTCTGTGGGCTAAGGAATTGTGAGAAAGTTGGTAAGCTGTAGAAAGGTGTACCTTAAAATATGTAAAGTGAGGGTATCTTAAAATATGTAAAGTGAGTATGTATCTACTGCAACTTAAAGGCATCTTGTCTGTTTTTTGAGATCACTAATGAACCAGTGAAATAACTAGTAAGCAAATATATTCCTGGACTTTGTGATCCAAGATAATTTGCTTTGTCAAGTAGCTTTGATTTGAGTTTCCAGCACATGATAGAAAATGAAAATTACAGCTTCAGAAACAGGGTGGAGCTATGTCTTTGCTTGGTGGATTCAGAATGTTAGCATTCACCTCCCCTTCCATTTTCTCCCACTAAAAACCCAACCCTTCTCTCTTGTTGCAGGTGGGCTCAGCAGTTTTAAGCAGAACCATGAAAACCTCTGTGATAATTCCCTCCAGCTTCAGGAGTGTCCTGAAAGCGGAGGTGGAGGTGCCGCAGTAACCTGTACACTACCTCAGTCCATTGCTACCACTCCAGACATTGAGAATGCCGAGCTCACCCCCATCTTGCCCTTCCTCTTTCTCGGCAATGAACATGATGCTCAGGACTTGGAGAAGATCCAGAGGTTGAACATCGGCTATGTAATCAACGTCACCACTCACCTCCCTCTCTACCATTATGAGAAAGGTTTGTTCAGCTACAAACGTCTCCCTGCCACGGATAGCAACAAGCAGAACCTCAGACAGTATTTCGAAGAGGCTTTTGAATTCATTGGTAACTATTCTTGTTTCCAGTTTGACTAGATTGCTCTAAATAAGTGCTGCTCTTGTGACTTTAGGTCTGGGTTGGAAAATATAAAGCAGATTATCTTGGCCCAGAGGATTGGTTGGATGACTGAAGCTGCTTTGGGTGGACATTTTAACAACGGAAGCTCTTTATTTATCCCTGGCTCCATTTCTAAAATAATTGATCACTTGTAGTATTCACCTTTTTCCTGCAGGTTTCTATTCATTGGGGTAGAGATACTTCTTTTTTGTAAAACAGAGGTTGATAGGAAGGGTGGCCTATCTTTATTAATGCCCTATTAACACCATCCTACAGATGTTTGCTAATATCCCTTCTCTGTATTCTCACACTCTTAAGGGATAACATATCTGCCTACGAGAGACACATAGGGATGTTGGCAGGTTATCTCAGAAACAGCAACCCAGTGCAGCTGATTAGAGATCTGGGAAAAAGCACCTTAAATGACTCTGCCTTCATAAACTCAGTATTATAGAAGCTGGGAAATTGTAGCCACAATGTTAAAAGAATAGTGCTTGGTTAAACTGTTGAATCTGGTTCACTGTTGTGCCACAGATTCCCAGGGGTGTTGATACACATTCATGGAGAATAGGGGTCTCAGTGGCTAAATGCAATAGTGTTTTATTGCTTCCAGGATGAAAAGCAGCATGTCACAAGAATACCAGCTGCTAAAAAGCAACTGTGAACAAACACTTCCGGGCTAGATGGGTGTTTCTTTGGTCTTCCTTTGATCCCTCAGGACTGCTTTTTGAGGTTAGCCAGTTTACCCATGAACGCTATGAGAACTGCTTGTCCTTTACTGGTGTCTTCTGGTGACATTCCCCCAGAGTACAGTTCAAGAAAGAAGGATAATTTTGCAGAACACAAAGCTTTATGCTATTTGATCTGCACAAAATATATGATCCTGCATAGTAGGCTTGTGGGAAGAGGCTGATGAAAAAGTGAATAAATAGGACAGAGTTACACATGACTGGGAATGATTATGAAGGAGGAGTTGCAGCAAAGCTTGCAAACATGCCAAGAATTATATATGTGTATGTTGTTCAAGGTTACACTTTTCTTTTTATTGTACCTGGCATAATGCATTTTGGTTTGGGGTATGGACAGAATGTTAAAAGGTACAATGATCTACTTTCAGAATTTTTAATAATATTGAGTTAAAATGCTTGCACCTTTTTATCCCTGGAAATAGAAGCATACATTTTTTTCCCCTAGATAGTTGAGACAGTGTTTCCCAACTGGTGCCAGATGTGTTAGTCATCAACTTCCTCATCATTGGCCGTGCTAGCTGAAGACTATGACAGTTGAAGCCCTATACAGCCACAGGCACAAGATTGGGAAAAGTTGATTAAATCCTTCACTTGCCTCCCTGCTTCTTTGTGAAGTTCAGTTTGGGGCATAAAGGTGGAATTGATGGGAATACTAAATAAACATAGATTTGAACTTTCTGTAAATATGCCTCTTTTGTAGTTTTCCCTCAGAAGACTCTTTGTGGATCTAGGTTGCACATTCTTATTTAGCAGCTTAATAGTCCTATTGCTAAATAAAACTAGTCTATTCCCTTTGTGCTGGTAACAGGATATGTCTTGCATCAGCTGAAGATTTATTGCACTTCCAGGCCAAATCCACTTTTCTAGAGCCCATATAGCAAAATAAGAACTTTGGTGTTGTCTAACCATCCAAACCTTGCCCCATTGCACTGGACCATTACAACATAGCAACTTAAACGTACTGTAACTGTAGCAGAGGAAAAGGAAACAGGAAGCAAAATTCTAGCTCTAGGAAACTGAACATGCCAACAGACCATTTATTGTTTAACTTGCAGATAAAGACTTTGACAGCCAGAAAATAAAATTGCCCCTTTCCCCCTCCCCAACTAGCAAACTCAGTTTTGTGATGGTTCATTAAAGATTCTGTATTTTTTATTGCACTGTCCAATTTGCAAGGGGTTATCAGGTTTTAGCTTTGTAACCCCATAAGTTGCCTGGCATTTATTTATTTATATATCAAATTTATATGGCTGCCCATCTTACAAAACAAAATGACTCTGGGTGGCATACAATACGGATATAAAAGAATAAATATAAAAATCATGCAGGTGATAAATAACAGATCCCATCTCCCTCTTGCTCATCCTATCGACCTCCCTCTCCATCTTTTATTTATAGTTGTTAATTTGTTTTTATAATGTTTTATTTTTCTTAAATACATGTCTTTGTCTATAACATTGTAAAAAGAATCACTTCAAGGTGAGATGAGCAACAAATTTAATAATAAATAAATGAATAAAAAACAATCATTATTTTTAAAAAAAGTTTTAAAAAATCATAAGGCCTACAAGAGATTAGAATATGTTAACAGCCATAATGGAGCTATCTCAAGATGTTACCAGTCTCCTGGGATCACCGAGCCTGATTGCATAGCCAAATCTTAAGGAATTTCTAGAAAATAAGTAAGGATGGAGATGACCTCACTTGCTGATGATAGTAGGAATTGTTCCAGAAGGCAGGTGCCATGGCAGAGAAGGTCTGCCTTCCGGGGCCAAGTGTAGTTCCCTAAGACAGGACTTGCAGCATGCCTCTTCTACCAGATCTGATGAGATGGGCAGATGTAATTTATTAATTACATTAATTACTACTTGCAGAACAATGATATTTCCTAAAGCCTATCAGTGCTATATTCTGAATTAGCCAAAGCTGGAGATAATCCTGGTCTGGGTTTTTTTTTCTTGTTTTGTTGATAAATTTCTTTAGGATAGCTTTGAAATAGTGCAAAAAATTGCCATATTGAATTTGTGTGTCTTTTACAAGATATGTGGCGAGAAAAATCTTGCCAAGAAAAGATAACAGTTGTAAATATTACTATTGCTTCTCTCTTAGAAATGCACTCTATGAGGTAGAATAAAAAGTTTTGTAGAATTTTTCCCATTTGAAATTAAGAGGCTTTGAACACTGCCAAAAGAGGGTGCAGCTATTTCTTTACAGATGATGACTTCCTGGGAAGATATGAGGGTATATTCAGTCTCAAAACACTTTTTTTTAAATGGTGTACAATACCATTTATTTTTTATGTTAACCTACATGAAACCACTGAGATAGCAGCAGGCAAAGATTCTTATTTCAGTAGTCAAAATATGCATATGCTGCATGAGGGTAGTGACCTTCACTGTTTATTTTTTTTACATATTTTTTACATAAACTCTTCTAGACATACTTTTTAATTTCAAGTTTGCTTCTGACGCCAAAATTAGAATTAGAAATAATTACAGTGACAAATTGGAAAGAAACATGTCATGGTTTCAGATTTTGCCCTTGTCCTTTTAATGGTTAAATAAATTTTCCACACTACTTTGAATGTAACCGTGGCAATTGCATCATTGAGTATTTCAGACAGTGACCATTTTACCAATGCTTTACATTGCTGGCCTGTGCATATTCTACAGGCTAGTTTTATGCATGTTATTCATATGAAGAGCATGAAATACAGGACAAAATCATAAAAGAAAGGTGGAGAGCTTTTAGCTTTTAGCTTCTTTGCTGCACTAGTGTTTCTGGCATCATGAAACAACATAGCTAGTGATATAATATACTGAGAAGTGTGTTTTTGCAACAAATGTCCAAAGGTTCCCAATTCCTTTCTTAAACGTTGGCTGAATTATGTCAAGATACAATGCACAGGGCTATTTGGCCCTGTGAAAAATAGCTCAAACAATCCATGAGTTTTCAGTATATATAATATCTAAAATATGCCCGCCATCGACAAGACTCTAATGAATTTTAATGGGAGGTTGTAATAACAGAAATGTTCTGAAACAAGGAGTGCTGGAGAGAAGAGAGGCAAGTGGTTTCTTCTAGGCTAATTTTCCAACAAAGCTTTAGAGAGTAGCAATGTGCACATTTCTCAAAGGTTTATGAACTTTGTACTGTTTGGATAGTTCACAAGCAGCAGTGCTGATTCATATAAATGCAATTTCTGTGTTGATTAGGCTCACTGAACATGAGCAAAGCCTTGGACTTGGGGCTTTCATTTCTGCTCTCCAGTTCTTCTCTCTGTACAGTGAAGAAAAAGAGTTCTGTCAAATTCTTTATGGGGTTCTTTAACTTCTCATTTGTTGCTGAAATATTAAGTGTTCTTCCTAGCTACACTTTGAATTTATTTGGCCCTGTATTGATTTGTACATTAGCACAAACAAATCAGGTATGGGATGGGCAGAGTGAAATTGAACAATGCCTAATTCTTCTTCCTCTTCCTTCTCCTCCTTCTTCCCAATGTGAAATTCTCATGTTCGCTGGGAATTCTTAGAGTTGCAATCATAACACAACTAGAAGACCCCAGGCTGGGAAAGGTGTACCGTATTAAATCATATGCTCATATGTCCCCCCACGTATTAAACTAGGCCAGTGAAATGTTAAGCTGTGAATTGCATTATGAAATTATGTCTTGATCTCTTTCAATGACCTTTTCTCTATTAAAGTCAATGTCTCCCTTTGTTTCTGATCTTTTCAGAGGAAGCTCACCAATGCGGTAAGGGTCTTCTTATCCACTGCCAGGCTGGGGTGTCTCGTTCCGCCACCATTGTCATTGCATACCTTATGAAGCACACAAGGATGACTATGACAGATGCCTATAAGTTTGTCAAAGGCAAGAGACCAATCATTTCTCCCAATCTTAATTTCATGGGGCAGTTATTGGAGTTTGAAGAAGATCTGAACAATGGAGTCACACCACGAATTCTTACACCAAAGCTGATTGGGGTTGAGACTGTTGTGTGACATAAAAGAACCAAAGGAGAGGGTTTTTCTTTTTTTAAAAAAAACTTTCCACAGACTGGGAAGCATGGGTGATTCTTTTCTTTTCAGCTTTACTAGGGAAAGCTTATTTTTTTTTAAAAAAAACTTCTTTTTTGAAAGTCATCACAGAATTTGCGCAGAATGCCATTGCAAATCCATTCTCAAAGGAATGGATGAAGAAGAAAGGCTTAAAAAGAAACCAGCTTTTTAAAATTGATGTTATGAGAAAAAAAAACTCCCTGGATATTATTTAGATTTTTTGTTTTTTTGAGGGAGTGGGTGGTTCAGCTACTTGTAGAGATTATAACTAAGTAGTCTGTGCAGGTTCATAGACTGAGAACAGCTATATTATTTTTTTAAAAAAAATAATGACACAACCAGCCAAAATAATAGCAAAAAGACTAGATCCACAGGCCTTGTGTTTGCAAAAACTTTACTAAACAAAACCTAATGAAAATGCTTGCTGGTGCAAAGGTGATCAGAGCAGCTTAAATTGTTTGCAAATCATGTCTCACCCTTCTGGCTAGAGAACACCTTTTTATTTTCTTTTATGTTTCATCTTCTGGTACTATTTTTCTATTTGGGTTGTGGGTAGGAGGGGTAGGACATTAAACACCAAGGGACATGACCATTTAATGCCATATGCCTTTATTGGCTTCTTGTGCAATAATAGTTTTTGGGAATGAAATGCATTTTTATTTTGAGTGTTCAAACCAATTATTGCGGGCTACCCAGTAATAATACTATTTTTTTTAAGAAATAGTGCAAAGATTACTGACTTGATATAGAAGCAGGAACACAACAAAAGCAATTATTCCCCCTCCCCCTTTTCTGGTTCTAGCAATGGTGCCATAAACCTTGTTACATATGTATATCAGAATGTACAAAGATTAAGAATAAGCAAAGTTTATTTAAAATATTTTTTCGCACAAAATACTGGCGTGTTTCTGTTTATGTAAAAAAATATATTGATTATAAAATGAAGTGTTTTAGAATTGTGAGTGTGTGTGTGTCCTTTTTATTATTTCTTTAATAAAATAACTTAGCTAGTTTAGCTTTCAATTTGTAACAAGTATGAAAGAGCATGTGGACCTGGAATTGACTGCATGTATTTTGCCCAGATAACTTATCCATGATGTATCAGATGGCTCCTTTCTCACTTATAGCAGCCTTGTTCAGGCACAGCAGTCTTTTCTAATTTAAATGTGGTGTATTGAACTAAAATAGAGACTTCTGCCTCTGTACTGTCTTCTCTTTTCAACACTTGAATGCCATATTTCTGGTTTGATCTGAGATATTCACAAAAGAGAAGGAATGAATCCAGGAGGGAAGGCTTGTACATTCTTGGTTTGATCAAGATGACATCTGACAACTGGTCAGTGTGCCTGCAGCATCAACACCCAGAAGGGGTGTTGAGCCAGCTTGCCATTGACACACAATAATTCACAATAATGCACATGTGTGGCCCGATACATACAGAACAAATATCAAAAGCCAATGGCAGCTATAGGACCTTTAGATGGGGTTTTCATCAAGGGTTCTCATCAGTCTGAAGATGGGATCAGGCTCCTGAAGTGCACTTTGTTTTCTCATTTCTTCTCTTTTCATTTTTCCATTGAAAAGGTATTTTGCACGTTTTCAACTTAAGTATTTCTCAGGGAATTGACTTTATTTTTCTGAAGTGAAAGTGCAAAGTGAGGAAAAGAAAAGTAATAATGGAGAAAAAAACAGTTGTTTCAGAGAATGCATAGGTATAGATGTCCTTGTTTCTAGGGGTCTTTTTTTGCCAGTTTTTAATTCACAAAAGTGAATAACTCTCACACTAACAGAATGAGTGCACTGATTCCTAGGGGGCTGCACAAGAGGTGGGAGAATCACAAAGCAGATAAAAAGTTGAAAATTTGCAGAAACTTCATGTCATTTTTCTTAATTAAGTAGTGAAGTGGCAGCATATGAAGTTCTGGGGCAGACTTAACTAACTTTCATTTTGCATCATAAGATCTATTTAAATGTCAAAAAGAGCGCAGATTCAGTTGCGATTCCTAAATGGGGAACTGTAAAGGCAGAAATAAAATGGAGGCATCTCTCATGGACTTATGATTCATTCTCAGGAAATCATCTAAATCTTTGTTTTCCCTTTATTTTATTACCTACAAATTGAATACCCGTGTTTGGAATAGTAACTATTTGAATCTTCTCGGGAGAAATCCTTTCAGCTTTTAGTCCATTTCACTTTGGAATAATATCTATGTTTATTTTTTGTCAAGGTCATGTCAGTTGTGAAATCAGACATTGTAAATTCTGTTTTACTACTGACTTCATTAGCAGTGCTAGTTTTTCGTAAATGAGGGCTCCCATTTTACAGCATAATCCTGCTATTGGTTGATGGAAAGCTTTGGCAGAATAAAAGTGGAATAAAGTACTCTGTAAGTGCCATTCAAATGTGTTTTTTCTTGTGCCCCTTTCATTCATTTCTGTGGAGTGTACAGAATACCTGATGGTAAGTCGTGCCTTTTATTAAGATTAGTTATATAGAGAGACAGATGTATGTATTAACTGTACTTTTGTCAAACAGAATTGTTATTAAACATATATTTTTTTCAATATTTGGTACATTTTATTAAAATATTTTTCTACAAGAATTGATTATATATTTTGCCTTTTTCTGAATAGTGGTAGTTTTTTCTCTCCCAATTTCCTCCTCCTTTCAAAGGGGAATGTCCTCTGTAATAAAATGCAAGAATGACCAAGTCCTGATTTTCATGAAGATAGCTGCTTTATGAAACATAAAGGGTAAGCGAATTTGCATACACTATTTAAATTTTAGGAACTCTCCTTGATTAACCCTCTTCTTGGTTTATGGATAAATTTTAGCCAAAGATGATCCTATAAAGACTGGTAGACATAATTTTTAAATTCATTTACTTTCTCAATGTCAGAAATAGGAAACCTGTGACTTCACACGTTTGTTTTTAATTTCCAACATTGTCAAATGGGATGAAAACTGACTACAACATATTTCTGGATGCCTGATAAACAAAACCCTAGAAGAAACAGCAGTTCCAGTACTTCTTATCAGGCCATGTTCTGAAAGTGGTGTTAGGGAACTGCTGTTCAACCTATGGCATTGCTGGAGCTTCCTCTTATTCTGCATGCTATTCACCATCTATCTGAAACTATTCAGGAAGACCAAAGTTTTGAAGTGAGTTATTACCTACCTTTATTATTCCTTACAATCAACTCCAGGACAGCTGTTGATAGGAATAATTTAAAGAAAAACAGGAGAGTCGGTATACCTGGAAAATAGTCATAAGGAGAATATCTCTAAAGCATCATCCCAAGCATTTGTAACTGGCGCCCTTCATCCAGATGCTATGGCTTCCATTTTATATGTATTAAAATGGCTGAAATCATCTGATAAGATTTTTTTCTAACTCATGAAAGTTTGGCATCATCAACAAGAGATTTTATGAAATCTTTGCAGGGGTGATAAAATGAAAGAGATGGGTGGTTTAGCAATAGGAATTAAAAATAAAACTCTTGGAATATTTGGAGATCTCCTCAATCTTTACTGGTAGAACTTCATCAGTTTCATTATGTTTGTTTTGCCATATTTTCATTCACTTGTCTTAAGCCTCAATGGTAAGCGTTAAACAGTAAAGTGGAATGTATTTGTATCATTGTTTTCTGCAATGAAAACAATGCATTCAAGTTTAGCATTCCCTAACCTGACTGCTGTTTTCTTGAAACATCTGATTGATGGGCATGAATTGGAAAAGGTACTGGACAAGATTGGTTATTTTGATAAGGTTCTTTCTTAACAAAAACATGCAAGCATGACAAATAAGCACCTTCAATCATAACTTTCTTCTAAAAAAACAAGGTATGTCCCCTTCCTTGGCATTCCCTCCCTTCTCCATTTTTTGAAGTTCTTGGTGCAGTACTTCCTAGGTTAGACCTTCTTGTTCCCTGTAGCAGTCAAAATAACAGCTGCAACCCGAGCTCAGTATAATAATAATGCAAGCTCCCCCCAGCCCCTATTCCTGCTGGGCCTGCTCCCTAAATTTCTCCTCCTTGAAAATGCCTGTTATTACATAGCCCATTTGCCTTCCAAAAGAGGAACCATCACTTTAGTGCTTGTCCCTGGTTTTATCATCCTATATTTACATCATCCCTCATTTTACACGAAGCCTTACAAGTAGCTGGGTTCTGATAAGCTGTTGTTGAACTTCTTGCCATCAAAATAGCCCCAGAATAGTTTGAGTGTTGTTTCTAATTGCAACGAATGAGCCGACCAGCTCATTAATCCTTTCCTATCAGCAGGACATAACTTGTCTACCCCAGAATAGCCCTGATCTCAGCAATCCTGCATTCAGCCCTTGGGCTTATGTGTTCATCGTATTTGGAAAAGGTAAGTTTCCATTGCAGACCCAAAGGGCCTGAGCTGGCTTTATATGAGAGAGGCTGCGCTGTATATGCCCTGCTGAGATTTCCTGACATTTTGGCATTGAAGTTTATAGGTTTTAAAGACGTTCTTAGAACACATATTGGTCAACTCTATTCTTTGAACTTATGACAGCCTCTGGCTATTTAAATGCTGAATTGGAAGAAAAAGTTAGAATTTCTGAGTAGCTTCTATTTAAATATATGGGGATATGACCATCCCAGAGTCTGCAATTTTACACAGTCAAATTGTATTTGTATTAATTTTGCCAAAATGTATTGCTACAGTTACTGGGCTAATGTTGCCTAATGGGATACTATTCTTTTTATGCAGTTCAGGATTAAGTGAAATGCAGAACAAGACCCAGAGCCTGTGCTCATTTGTGGCACAGAGCTGGAAATACCCCCAAAACATCACTAGATCCCTAGAAGCTTTGAGTGAGCCTCCTTCAAAAGTCACCACCCAACTATAAAAGCAAAACACTAAATACATGGTGGAATGGGACATCTCGCCACGACCAAATCATCAGGCTCAAATCGCCGCATCCAACTCACCATGGCCAACTCGTTGTGGGACAACTTGCCGTGAGAAAATTCAACAATTCAATTTAATGATTTAAAATAACTTTTAAAATATTTTAATTTTTGTCATTCACATTTTATTTTGTCCCTCTTTTGGCATCCTTTCTTTAATGATTCTATTCCACTAATTTTTTCGTATTAGTGTATCTCTTGACCCACGGTGAGTTGTCTCGTGACTACTCGGCCGTGGTAAGTTGGCTGTGGTGGGTTGTCCTAAACCCATACATGGGAGGTAAACTGATTAAACATATTGAGTTATTTCGACTGCATTTGAAATATAAAATAAATTAATGCTATTATTTTCATATCTCTGTTCTAGGAGTGTACCCCTGGCACACCCATCCAAGGCCAAGAGTGACTTCCTGCTAGGGACATCTGGAGGAATAAGGGAGCAGAAAAAGATAGCAGACACCTCTGCGAGACTTAAGTCCTGACCCTCTTTTTACATGCATTTACATGTGATGAATGTAAAAGGGGGGTTGGGGTTTTAGTTGCACAGCAGGGCCCACCATCTTGACTATTTTTATCCCTTACAAATATTTTTGCCCCTTTTGGATCATTGGATTTGCATATTACACTAAATCATAAACAAATAACTTGCACTGTGGCTTAGGAAAAATTTGGCTATAGCTGTGTATTTATATTGTTTTCTTTTTCTCTGCACTCTAGCTTCACATCTGCTTTTATTCCCTTTTATAAAAATTGCAAGCATTTTCTTAATTTGAAATCCTGTTATCAAATAAACTGAACTGGGGTCAGACTCTACTAGATGCTATCTATCACAACAAGGGAATGGCAGGTGATTTTCTCCCCACAAGCTTAGAATCACTTTCCACCCGATTCTGAGAGTCCTTCTGGCCTTCCAGAATACTGGAATGTTGCAGCAGGAAAGGAGAATGGGGTGAAAATAATTCCATCTCACCTTTTTCTTTTAACTTCAGCTATTAACTTTATTGTTTTCTGGAGATAATCCAATAAACTGAAGCATCAAAATTTAAAATGTATAATCAGATTTCACATTCAACAAGTTCACTTTTCAAACTTCATGCTTATTGGTTTAAAAAATATTCTGCATTTAAATAGACCATTGGTTCTAATTTACCCCCTCATTTTTTTCAAATCAAGTTCAAAAGAGGTTTAACAAAAGCATGCTAATATTTTTCCAAAGTTTGTCCTTCGCCTCCTGGTGCTCACTCCAGCTACTTCAACTTTTATCCAACCTCCTCCAACCTAGTCCTATTCACATACATTGGATCATAGCTCTCCTAATTCCCAGTAAACATGAGATTATTAAAATACTGTCGTGGAGGAGGATAGGTTAGGTCAGTCCTAGAGGGGATAAGTAAAGGGAGGCTGCTCTAACTGGAAAAGTTAGGAACCAAACATAGGATTACCTACAACTTTGAGCACTAATTGTATATATATCACAAAACAGATGTACACTGTATATTCTAAAGATTGCATGGCAATCAGATCCAAAATCTTGCCTCTAATCTGGCTTTTTGACAACATTACTGCTGTTCTTTGAAGTTGAAAGAAGGGTGATCAAAGCAGGGAAAGCTACTGATTCCAACTGAGATGTAGGTCAGCTCACCCTGAGTGCATTTCCAATGCATTCAGTGTTGCAGTGGCACCTTTATTTTAACTGTCTCATCAGCAGGATACTGTGTCCGGCTATGGAGAGGTGAAAGTACAGACTGTTTTTGCCTGCTAGGATGATAAAATACTACATTGTTTAGTCTTGAATACATAAATTTCAAGGGATGAAGAGAAGGCTTGAAAGAAGCAATTAGTCCTGTGGGATATCCCTTATGGCAGTCAGAGATGAGTTGACATTAAAAAAAAAAAATCAACCTAACCTGGATTTAGAGCATATAAGCAGCATGTCTTATATGTTGTCATTTGTTTAAATGACTAAACAATGTCTATGTCAAGCAGAATTTTTTCTCTTGCTCTTTTAAAATGGGAATGTCAAGATTGAACTTGGGACCTTCATCTTACAATCAGAAGCTATAATCATGTCCCAATAAAAATTAATCACAAACATTTCATTGATTCCAATGGAGAGCTCGAGGCAGTATAGATACATAAACTCCTTTGTAGCTAGACTAAGAGAACTGTAATTCACAACTCAGCATGGAGCTTGCAATAATCAAGGACAGTCTGATTAGAGACAGCAGAGATTCTGAAGCCAGTGACATCAAATATTTAAGAACTCTTCCTTTTTAAGGAATAAATAAATAATAGAGTGCAGTTGAATTATGGAAAGAATCAGTTATTGCTAACATTCCAGTATTTGGGAATGGCCATGAAAACACAAAACTGGATGTTTGGAATAGTGTTGCTGTTTTTTTAGAGAGCTAGAATGGTGGAGGGTGGTGATTGGTTTACCTAGGCTCAAGGTCCAAAGCAATCAATCACAGAAAAAGAGTGAACAGCCCAAATTTCAGCAGAAAGAGCAAAGGTTTGTACTTTTTGAACAATTCTGCCCTCTCTGCTACAAGATGGGGCCTTGAAGACAATTATCATATCTCTCAAACATCTTCTTTTCTCTAAACTAACACATACCCAGTTCTTCCAACCTTTTCCCATAAAGTAATTTCCAGACTTTTTA